ACGAGGACTCTTGGAATCCGACCAGACCTCGGCGCCGCGCTATGACATAATCATCCTTCGAATCTGGCCTTCTAAGGATGCGTCCTAGGAATTCGAACAGAGCAAACATCAGGAGACCATGTTCCTCAGTGGACGTCAGTCAGAGACCATCATTAGTTATTATAACCAAACAGTCCCTGTAGGTTATCACTGTTAGTGATAACCTACAGGGACTGTTTGGTCAAATATTGATCAAAAACCAGAAATGTATTCATGTTATGTATCTATGTTGCATCAAGTTAAGAAACCATGAATGATCCAGTTAATAAATTAGAGCTTCTTAAACTTCTAAAGTGGCTCCAGATTTGCTGCTCAGTAAGTTCCAGAAGAACAAACAGGAAATGATGAAAATATTAGCTAAACATGAGTTGAGTATTTACATAAACACATAAAACCTGAGAGTAAATATGTCTCTAATTTTATCACAGAAGAAGATTTTTCAGACTAATTCTGAATCCCTTAAAAGTGTCATTTTCTCACTTATTTGAGACCCTCTCAATAATTTGGGATCTTTGTCCCAGATTAAAAAGGATGTTAAATATTTATAGATCTAAACATTTTTTGAAACTATTCTTCAGATGAGTGGAAGTTTTTGTCAAATATAAAATCTATCATATTCTAGAATAAATATAGAAATATTGAGATTTCTAAGTGCATGGAACAGGTTTGAGGGTCGATTTTAATCTGACTAAATGTTTTTCATTAACTGCATTTTTCTGCATTGGAAAAAGTCCTGAACCAGACCAGTAGAAAATATGTGGATAAATAAACTGTAATAGAGAATAATTCATCAGTTTGCTTTAGCCAAGTCACTAATCAGACTAATGATAACAAAAAAAGGTTTGTTTTAGGGTTGGTTAAGTAATTGCATTTTCAATTTAATGGCAAACAAAATTTTCTAATTGCAAAGTCTCTCAGTTCTATTCATGCTACATTTCACAAGAATATGAGAGCCCCCCCCCCCCAGACGTTATTAATCAATCGGATGGAACGAATTTTAATCCAATAAACCACTTCTAAATGAATCATTCTTTGATTATTTAAAAAACGCTTAATCTCTATTTAGGGTTTCTGTTAATATTTAAAAAACCTGACATCACAGCTTCAACCTATTAACTGAAATGTATTTTTGATACTTTAATCTGTTTAAATCAAGTTTTAATCAGATTTAGTGAAATTTAACTGATTATTTTCAGAGCATCTTTATATTAATGTATGATTAAAGCTACGTTTGTTTTTCTGTTTGTCTTTCCAGACCTCCTGCAGGTTGGAAAAGAGGAGGATTTCTCTGAGCAGCAGCTCTGGAAACAGGAGAGGAATTCCAGTTTGGACCAAGAGGAACCAGAACCTCTGCAGAT